CCCAGCATGCACATGTAATTTGTATCCAAGTTGGTTGTATTTTTCATATTTACTTCTTTTGAAATAATTTTATCCACGAGGTATTTTCGTATGAAAGCGAGGAATTCCTTTGAAATTAAATAAACGCGCGTTTTTTTTCTCTTCCTTTTCTTCCGTTTGTAAAAATCGTCCCAGGTATGCGGAATTGTTCGGGGAGTGAAATACCCCAAAAAAGCCCAGAGAGATCTCAAGCATGCGTTTTGTCTGTATTTCGAATTGCAGGTGTGCGTGCTGGGGACAGGGGAGAAGAGCTAAGCAGGTCAGTTGGAAATAAATCTTCCCAGGGTAGAAAGGACAGCTGCCAAAGTATCTGTAGCACTTGGTACCAATCACATTTATATCACCCCGATTGTGATTCACGATTCATCCTCTTGGCTATCGATTGCCTTCTAGGGTTGTGCACCGAATAAAATAAAATCCACCGCGAATGAATCCTGAATTCCCTTGGAGTCGTGCTATCTATTCGTCACCAGCAGTTGGAAGTTGCTGGATGTAAAAGACATTTAGCGTTTAATTTCTTTTTCTCAAATGTTATGCCTAAGGCGTGGCGATATGTCGTATGAACAAAAAATAAATCATGCTCCTTTTGATTTTTCCAGTACAGAGCCAATATAATATTCACCATGTTTTTGATAAGATACAACTATTTAAAACATGACAAACAGTTATCGTGGGTATTAGATCAACTGTTGAAGCTACTCATGTTGTACTTCCAACTGAGAGACTGATGGTGTGCAGAGTGCAGCATTAACAATACAACATGCCTTCTTCACTGAATGATTAATCATACTTTCGCTTTTTCGATATCAAGGGGGAAATGTCAAGTATTGCAGTCGCGTTGGAAGTCGTTATTAGCCGATTTTCTTCGGTTGAATTATGAGAAAGAAAATTGAATTAACGATAATAATAAGTCAACTGTGAATGGAGAAGTGAAATAATTTTTTTCTTTAAAGAGGGTGGAGAGGGAATTTTATGCTGTATCCACCAGTCACCGGGTGTACCAGCAATTATGGGTCTTCGCAAGTTCTTCGACTGCGGTGAGTTTTCACTGCAATTTTCCGGTTGCCTACTGTCTCTATCCTGTCCATACCATCGAGGAGAACGTAAACCACCAACAAGGACACTAGTTAACGATGATTTGCTCGAGTTGAGAGAAACAGGTAGAGCCCGTTGTTCGCCATTTTCCTTTTGTTTCACAAGACCCTGGACACTGGTCATATCATAATTCTCTGTGTCTCAATACTCAAGCTGTTTCTCATTGTGACAATGAGAAATCATTCCACAAAAGTTAAACTGACCAATGATTCGATATATTTTAGAAATAAAGTTGGAAATTGAACAGTAAAACTTGTCATTCCATAGCAAGAGCCAGTGTTCCATGTCGAGGATTTCATTGTGACGGGATTTCCGGTATCGCGTGTACACACTTACTAAATCATCGAATACGTGTGAACAACTGTTGTCTTGACAATAGGACGCGGGGTAAAAATGAAGAAATGGGGGGAAAAAAAATCTGTGGAAAGGACACAAGGCGCACCTGAGATACAAGAGGTATATACCAAACACTTGGTAACGGATATCTGATACTCGAAACTCAAGTTTGTCCTCGCGACTCGATGTCTAACTCTCCTCGTCGTCACGCTTATCAATTTACATGGATATATTCAATCCCGGGGTGTTAGAAAAAATGGGGGATAAAGATGGCGTCTTGATATCAACAGTAAAATTAGATATAAAACCGAAAAATACACCCCAATGCCATCCACCGGACCCATTCCAGATAACGAACGAACAATTTAAATAAATAATAAATATCCTTATCGTCCGGATGGGTAAATAAAAAAATACTAGAATGACATTAAAATGCAGGTGAAGTCACTGTCTTGACCTTGATATTTACATTACAAATAAACGGAGAAAGTACCACTGGAAATTCTCTCTTGCTCGGTTTACACGTACCCTGACGTATTTTATTACAGTTTTCAATGACAAATTCCTGGGAAACCGAGACTGTTAGAAATAAATTCTCATTTCACGGACTGTTCGCAGGAATTTTCAAACGAAATCGAGAGTATACCTTCCAGGTCTATGAAAATCATATAAATTCGCGGTGACTTAGAAAATTTCCACAACATTGTCACAAAATTTGTGCTCAATTTTTCTTTTCACGACTACAAAAAGTCTGTACCTCAGTAATCGACGCCGCCTCCTGCACAAGCGGTGTAATTACGTCTATCCCTCGATTTCATCTCCGACGGTTCTCGCCTTTAGAAATTGCCGAGTTGTTAGAAATAATAAAAAAAGTTGAAAACAAACGACAAAACTCATAATCCACGACACCTGAAGTACGATTGACTTCGTCCCTGCGGTTTTCACGATTAACCCCGATGAAACTAAAGTCCCTCTTCCCCTGGAAAATCGCCCAACATTCGCCTGAGCGAGGTACAAGTCGGCTTTCTAAATTCGTATCGATATCTGAAAGAAGTCTCACTTTCACCCTGCACATCCCGTCGATTAAATCCATCTCTCCCCATCCTTATCTCCTACCGTTGTATATTTTAAAATACATCCACGAGATCACCAAAACAACGATTAAAGGACGATTGCTTGTGCTATTTAAGCGTTGAGGAATCACATATAAAAACCAGAAGATCCCAAGATTATCTAGATCAGTCTCACTGATCTAAAACGTGACTCGTTAACGTCAATATCTCTCCAGAGAATCTCCCTAAAGACTTCCCGTGACTCTAAAATCCTCTCAAGAACCACAAAACCCTGATTTGTAGTAATTGTTTTTCCCACTCTATCCCTAAATCTGAAATCCCAGCAGGCCCTCATCGTCACCGTAATTACTATTTAGGGAGACAAGTGGTGGCTTTCTTCTCGCCGCTGTACCACCGGTTTTTTATTTTCCTTTTATTTTCTATTGGATAGAAAATTGGAAATACGTCGTAACGGCATCGGCTATTCTCGTGGCTTATACAACGCACATTCTGGTCTTCTCCGTCATCCCCATCGGTTTTCCCCTCTAATCCCTTCCTCGTTTGATGCGGCAAGTGTTTTTCAATGACAAAATAAAAAATTCTCAGCGTGATATTGTGTGTACAGTAGCTGGGAATGCTTTTCAACTTTACTCCATAGAACAGCCGATGAGCAAAACCCAGTACGTGACGACGCACACTGTATGCAACGGTATTACACATTACCCTCTCTGTCTTATCCTTTATTTCTTCTGTTTCTTCAGTGTCATACACTGGGATCAAGTGAATAAGGAAAATATGACACTCCCGATCCGTACGGGTCATAAATGCGTCGTTTATTATTTTTTTTTGTCGCAATTTTAGGCATGTGGAATGCCATTTATTGGGATCTGTCGACTTCAATTCAAACTCAATGATAAATTTATTTTGTTTCGTTTTTTTTTTCCTTTGGTCTCATTACGGCAATTATCTCTCTTGCTATGAATTTTTCGGTGTGGCATTCTCATTCTGATTCTCAATCAATCGTATAAACGAGATTGTTTTTCGATATGAGTAAACGGTACCCGGTGACCACCGGTATTTCTACCATTACGGTATACTGAGTTTTTCTTATTGAATAAAGCTTTAATTAGGGAATATGATGGGGCTTTATGCGGATGATGCACCACGTGAGTGAAAAATTAGCATTGAATGGCTTCTTCGTTCATGTTGTGATTGAATACAACCAGGATGGTCTAATTTGTACCGAGTAATGCGTGCCTTACAATATTTTTGAACGGGATCATGACCGAGGTTGGGAATTGACGAAAAAAAGAAAGTGAGTGATGAACAAGGGGTTTAATTAGTCGTGTCTCTAATCTCAGAATTTTGTCTGATAATAAAATCTCGTATGAGTTTCTACAATAAAGCGAAAATGACTTGGGAAATGGAAAGTCTCCCGAGATCTGTTGATCCGATAGGACAATTCCGGTGTGTTGATTAGGATTGAGTAATTAGCGACGATTAGAACAATCTACATGTATCAAATAATGATCCTGTGTTGGGCGCTCGAGAAATTTAACAGTGCAAAAAGCACGACACGATTGCCCTTGAGAATTTCAGTGTCTCGAAATTTTTTTCCAGCACTTAATTCCACTTGAAATGACTGGAATTTCGAGGCTCTCGGAATCATTTAATCCACTGGCGCCAGTGTGATTTTTCCCTTTTCCAAATGAATCAGTCAGATGAATTCAACAAATTTTGGGGTGGCAAACAAAGAGGAGATGAGAGATGTAATGGCGTTGAAACAGAGTGTTTTAAAATTCTTGCGAGAGTCCCCCAGAGACTGGCATGAAAACAAATGTACCGGTCAATGAACTGACGTTTGAAAAATTCTGGGAGATTAGTTATTTCCGATGGTCGTTCGGTATGTATTTGTATTTGTCGTGGTAGAGGCCCTCACGTGTCTCATTATTAAAACAGAAGGACGTGTCCTGGTGGATCGACAATACTCATCGATTAATCCCCCTCGAACACACGTGCTCTCTATATCGCGATGTACCGACTCACGTTACGACAGTTACAACGGTATCACAGGTAACATTCGTTTATTCAACCCGTCATCAATCCACCAAAATGTCCCTGACAAATCGTCGAGTCCCATCGGCACTAATATTTATCCGTTGGAATTTCAAATACCAAAATACTAGTCTAGCCTATCGGAGAATTGATCTTACATGCCGACGACCTTCCCCAACTCACCGGGGGAAAATGGATGACGAATTCCATCTTCGCGGATGCGCAACGCAACCCTCTTCTAACGCTCAATTTTCTTCTCCTTTTATCTGTCTTTCTCCTCTTCCAGGAGTACAACATTCATCAGGCCCTTCTGCACGTCTCAAAAATCCCCCGAGAATCCTCCAACCGCATTAACGCATTACCTCATCGCATCGTAAACCCGAAACATTGAAAAACATTGGAATATGGAGTATTGATTCCTACCTTCGTACAGGATCCGTGTCCTCACCGATAGCAACCGAGAGTTTAATATCCAAGGGTTGAATACAGGAAATCCAACTTCCGTTCGTTTTCTTCTTCACCCTTTTTTACCCTTTTTTTCGTCGACTTGTATTTTCACTCGATTTAACAAAGTTCTCACTTCGCGGGATGACGGATTTTTCGCGTCACACCATGACGGGACTACTCACTGTTTTTACAGGTTACAAATGGGATTGGGGGTTTTTTTTTTAATTGTTTAATTAGGGGGGGCTGTGGAGGATGAAAAGGCTGTCACGGGATTGGTGAAAATGGGGGGAAAAAAGTGATGGTGTAACGCGCACCTCGATAATTTTAAGAGCTCAAGTAGACACGACCGAACAACTCGACTTGGCGTGAGAGACTGTCGGGTAAACTGTGCGGGGGAGACACTCGGGGGAACTTCGGGTTGTGTCGGGTAACATCGGGGCTTGTGGTGTCCGTTGGGTTTGAACATAGTGGGGCAGACTTCTAGACCCAGTATCCCGCGGGGAGGTTGCAGCCATCTCGTTCCGATTTTCGATCCTCTGCCCTCTCTATTTTCAATTCTCCTCCTTCAGTCTATTCGTGTATCTCCAAAATCCCCATTTTACCCAATAATTCTAATAATTTCAATAATTTCAATAATTTCTCCAAAGTTCCCGTCACTCTGAGAATGGATCATGTAAGTGGGGGAGATGAGACAAAACGGACACCTCAAGGAACAAATCAATTGTTTCTCGAGGAAATGTCCTTGAGCATTTTCAAACGGCACAGAATATAATCCCAAGAGGGGACGAACTCTGTCGATGAAAATATTTTGTTCGGCGGGTGGGGGCAAACGAACACCCTCCAAATTCATTTAAATATTCATTGGGTTTTGAATATTCATTAGATTTTGTAATTCTGCATGTATTTCCTAATTGAAAAATGGCAGCTTACGAATCAGTTTTTATTTTTCCAAGCGCCATCTATACAGCCACATCTATGTCCTATAATATTCAATTGTTTATATAAGCGTTTAATTCCGTATTTCTTTTATGATTCAAACAAAAAAAAAATAATGAAAATAAAAAAAAGGTTAGGGTGTCCGTTTTGCACCCATCTTTGGGATTTTTGATAACGAAAATCGTAGGACAGACGTCAAGATAAATTAATTATAATCTATCTCATGAACTTATTTGACAAATTTTTTTTTTTCAGTGGAGACTGCAGTTGTTTCGTTCCTATTCTCATGGCGTCTCTCAATTTCGAGTGCTCCCGCGTTTTTTTTCCTGGTGAGAAATAATGGCAGGGGAAGAAAAAAAATATTAAATTGAGTTATGAAGGGTTAAAAAATGGCGTGATCGCTTGGGCTCGCTTGTTCTTGCTCGAGCAAAACCGGTAGCCATCGGGCATTTGAGGGCTTTCTGCTTTTCGCGCGATCTCACTTTGTAACTCACTCTCGAATATTTTACCATCTCTGTCACTAATAATAGTGCAGCCGCGACCCTCTCGATGATGCTCCCAGATTAAATGCCGTCTTGGTCTCAGGGCGAAACCAAGGTTGAGATGTTCCTCTGCTGTAGACACCCAGACATTGGAAATCACGTTCTTAAGGATATATTCCTGCCCCTCAACCCCTTTCAATTTTTTTATTCACCAATTTCTGGAAAACCCCTGACGGAAATTACTTTCATCCCTAATCAATCCCTCGCCAAGACTTCTGCATTTCCCAAAAAGTTTGAAATAACTTTGCATTTCCCCCGAGTCTAAAACCCAATTATTAAATTTTCGAAGTGAATCCCGTACTCAATTCCAAAGGTAGATGTTATCGAGGATAAATCCCTCGAAGCATCCGGATAAATCAACAACTCTGCTTGTCTCCTTCAAGTTTATTCATCCCAACAAGATATTAATAAATTCATGACGAAAGTACTAAGTTACAAGTTCAAAGTGCAAGCGTTTGAAAAGGGGATGAAGGTAAAACGGGGTGGAGATATCTCTTCCTTTAATTTTGACATGAACCAGTGAAGACGATCAGTTGTTGTCAGACAGAGTAAACGGATCAGTGTAATCCCTCCAGAAAATCATAGCCTTGCATTTAGTTTCCAGAGGATATACTGTAATTCCAATCAAATGTACGACGGGCTAGTTTATCGAGGATAACCGCGAGGATAAATCGGTAACTTTGCTTGTCTCCTTGGAGTTTATTCATTCCAGCGAGATATTAATAAATTCATGATGAAAGTGCTTGGGATGGTGATTCAAATGGGGCAAGAGGGTATGTACCGAGGTAAAAGGGGATGAGAGAGGAAGATATTCGTTGAAGGCACGTGTTAGTGGTGGCTTTAAATCACAGGGTATAGCCCCGAACACGCCACTTATCATTTTCACAACACACGTATTTGTACGTAATAATAACAGCTTGAATAGTTACCGCAGCAGCTATTAACCGGCAATCCCCATCTTTGCATTAGAATTATCGAATTGTTATTGCTATTACGAGCAACGTTGAGCTCCTTATCGTATTTTCTGTCGTTCGATTGAGCACTTTTGAGGCCTTGAGAGGAGCAAAAAAAAAAATATCGTGAGCAACAACTTGGGAGCATGGGAAACTAGCGAGGGAATCATCTCTGATTATGGGTTTCCTTCGTTGATCTTCCATTAACAAAATTTTCAACGACCTTGTCAAGCATCTGTGGATGATAGTCATCGACGTTTATGCGACCGTAAAAACAACAACCGGCTGATTTACCTCTGAGCTATTGTCCCAGGGTTGGTGAGTTCATGATCTGCTATTATCCAGTGTCTTTTATTGCTCAATTGCCCTTCCTGTTTGTTTTTCAGTTCCTTGGGAAGGCTCACCTGCATCGGCGCACGAGTGAGTAATAATTTAATTAATTGGCAATTACTTTCCAGGTAATTGAAATTATATTTTACGGATGATGAGTTTTTGCATTTTTGACTTTCAAGTCGTTAAACATTGAATTCTGAATTGATAATCCATAACGTATATTTCAACCCTGATTTTACGAATCCACCCACACGATTTAATGTATCAAAAGTGGTAGAGGATTGAACGATAAGAATGGAGGGCTTATCTGAACCGGTTTCATATCGTCATACGTATTTGATCGTCCGTACGGTCCTCGGACGCGTTCTCAAATGATGGCCAGCAAGATATAGTACGCGTGATGATAATGATTTAACGATTACCCTAAGGCTCGATTATGTCCTCTCACGAAAAAACAATGCGAAACTATAAAACGCAGAGCTAATGTAAAATATTTATTTATAATATTTATTTTACTACCAAAATATTTCAATTTTGACCGGATTTTTTTCTTCTCGATTCATCTCTCGGAGTTGGCAGGTTTAAAAAATTTCCACAAGTAGAAAATTTTCGTGAAAATAGTTAAAAATTTTCAACCGAATATCTCGACGTTTTCATAATGAATGTCCAGGTTTATCTGGAGAGCTCTAGAGATTAACGAGTCGGGATCAGTGGTGTGTTTAACACTCCGAAGGTCGTCACCTGTATTGTTGTGCATTGATTTACTCCTCGAGAGGAGAGAGACAACTACTGATGGGTAGAATGTGATAGGTCAATCACGCAATACATCTGATACCTGACTATCTCCCCGTGGATTTAATTATGACGAATGAGCACAGTCTGTTGCTGCACAGTAGCTATCTTAAACTTGAGCCGTTCTCTTTGCCGATTAATTGCCATTTCCATAGGGATAATTATCGCCACCGAGAGGGAGAAATGCCTGTCGATGCGCGTGCCCGATATACAACTGCACTCAGCTTGATATATGGTTTCAAATAAATTAACTTCATGCAAATTCACAACTGCTAATGTAGAATGATGACGTGATTTTTTTTTTATTGTTTAACTCTCATGCAATATTATAGGGAGTTAGAGTGGTGGAATGGAAACCGCAAAGCTGCGCATTCCAGAATATTGTCAGGAGAATTTTACAGTGTGGAAAGGTTGTATTTAGGATTCACCAACTCAGCATTAACAATACTCTCGTCACTGCTTTAACCATCAAGTGAATAGAGAAATAGTTGTACGGCATTCGCTCACGGGCTCTTGAGTTCTCGTTGCTACATGCTTTAGTTACTCCCCCCGGAAATGCGGATGCAATTATTTGCATCACAGACATTAGCAGGCATTTACTGAGGTATTTAGTTGCTGGTTATTATGATCATAGATATGCTTTCGTTCCATTTTCGTTTCGAACATTCATTACATCTCCGGGTTTGAAAGTTGGAAATTTTCAAATTGAATTCTTTTCAAATTTTGAAAATTCACAGCTGCAATTTTCCTCGGAATTTCGGCATTCCAGTTGCATTGAGAAAGGACTTTTGGAATTCACTTTATTTTTTTTTTCAAAAACTCATGGGACATTTTCAGTTGTCAGATTTTCTCGATAAAGAACTTTCTCGTTATATCAGCAGAAAAATTCTCCGATCGTCTGCCAAAAGGAAAGTGTAAAACGAGAGTGAACTCGTAACCTACGCGAAACTCAAACAATGCTGAGACTAGTTTCTCATGCAGCGCACATTTTCGGGTAAAAGAAAGTGGTTTCGTGATTATCTTATTATGTGTAACGGATGAAAACTCTCGAGGGAAATTCCATTAGAGCCTTTCCAATATTCCAACATTCATAAAATTATAAATTCCTCCACTACTACCGCCACAATTAATTAATTACGAAAAATCATCAGAAAAATTGTGTCGAATCCGGATAACTAGTCTCTACAGCTAGTAATATTCTCATTTAATCCCGAAAATTTAATGTACGTGTTTTATTATCGCGTTTTAGTATTAAAAGCAGAGTGGCGCAGTGGAAGCGTGCTGGGCCCATAACCCAGAGGTCCGTGGATCGAAACCACGCTCTGCTATTTCATTTTTTTTTCCTCAGAAAATTATTTTCCCCTCAAAATCCATCGTTACCCCTCCCTCGAGCCCCCCCAGGTCCTCCCCTACCCTCCATCAAAACGCAATTACTGACCTTGTGAAATATTAAAAAAAAAATCATCCATAAAAATGCAAATTAATTTTTATAAGACATGATTGCACGTTGTGGTGAAGACAACGGGTTCGGGAGTTCAGGGGAGTTCACGGGCATAAATTCCTCGCTCGTCCCATGCCGAGTTGGGTATTGTCCCTCCTGTAATTCACCTCTCCCTCATTTGGGTACATATCGCTTTTTTTTTTTCTCTCGCGAGTGGAGTGTGCGTGGCACGCCCAAGAAATCGAATAAACGTCGCACGTGATGAATTTTAAGAGCTATACTGGTTAAACAGATATATAGATGCAACGAGCAGCGATACCCGGTCACTTTTTCGGCAATTTCGAGAGCTCTTCCCGGTGTAAT